AGCCTGGTCTGACTCAGGGGCCAGTCCCCACCCACCACCACGGGGGTGGGTAAGGTGAGAACCTTGTGGGGTGGCATGTGTTCCCACGTCACCTGCCGCGACCCATGGCAACCCCAAAAGTACAGCAGGGGTGTCCATATTTGGGTTGAGAGGCAGGGACACAGGAGATGAGTGACTGTCACATGCTGTACAGACGCCCCCCCTTGTATGAGTGAGTGAGGACCCCTGACGCATGTGAACAGTTGTGGTTATTCCACTGAATGAATGATATTTATGGCTGCCTCACTGTGACTAAACATATGTGAGCAACTGAATTAATTTTTGGGTAGCACTTGACTTTTAGCATTTATAAGCTGTATATAAACATTTCATGAATGGTTTATAACGGATTATGATGTTGTTTTAGCATTTATAAGGACGGGATTTGTTAGAAACGATAATTTCTCAGATTAGGTAATGTTTTATAATATTGTCACACATTATGTTTGTTGTAATAACAGCAGCCTCCACTTATGGAGAGAAGTTATACTTGTTAATACATGAATAAACACTTATATGTGCTTACAACTTCATTATAGTGTGTTTATAAACCATTCATTAAATATACTGCTTATAAATGCTAAAACAAGAGACTTGGGTTTATTATTGATTTCACAAAGTAGGTGATTAGGTAACAGGCACCTGATCCTGAGTTTTCAGTGACCTTAAACCCACAACAGAGAAATCAATGACATGTGGTTCTAACTCACCACTTACTGAGGGGCAAAGACACAACAGCAGCTTCTACCTCTTCTCTTACAGCAAAAAAACATATTCTTCAGCACTGGATGAAGGGGATTAATGAATTGACCTTCAATACCCAGTTTAACAACACCTGACAGCCTCTTACTAATCATTAACATTAATTTATCAGATAAATCATGTTGTTTTTCTTGCTTGTTCCATCATTTATTTATGTATTTTGCTTTTGTAAATGTGGCAACGGTTCCTCGAGGGTGTTCTTTTTTCTTATGTTGAATATTTTTTTGTCAACACCAAAGTTACTTTACTTTCATGATATTTCCCGACTTTTTTTTCAATAAAATAGTACTTCTAACTGTAGTCAAACATCCAATGATATAATTTTTGTATTCATCATTTTATTATATTTGTTTTAGCTGCTGTTTTTTATTGCATAATGTAACCATGCCCAGGGACTGAGCCTTTTGGATAAATCTGACTAATTTACATCACATTGGCTTTATTTAATGTGTGCTGTCACTGATAAATAAATAAATAAATAAAGCTGATACAGTCTAGTAAATAGTGTAAAATGAATTCATTAAAATGAGCATAATGAACATAAATAAATAAAATACCTCTGATGTAGATTGGACAAATGAAATGCACAGAATCAGTGTATACATACTTAACCTACATATAAGTTTAGCCTATCCACAAGACAAAATACTTAAAATTACTCTTGTAGATACTTTATATTTGTTGTCCTCCTTTATTGTAACTGTGCAGATTTTTGATCTTCAGGGATCTTTTAGGGATAAAAAAAAAAGTTTATCCAAAAAGTGAAGTAATCACTTATATTAAACAGTGAAGCTTAAAGGCCAAGATAAACCCTTAACATCAGAAGGTATTAACATTTAAGTTTGGGTTAAGGGTCAGCTGGTTAAAACTGCTTTAAAGACAGTTTTTAATAGCTCACATATAAGTTGCTTTCAACACTTATTCGTCACGTGTAGATTGACCAAAACGAGGAGGTTGATACAGCAGCTTGCTGCTCAAAGCTGAAACGTGAGGAGCGCTGACCACGCTGATTTTGGCAAAGGTTAATCAACGATAAGCAATACATGTGTCACAAGAAACCTGATGATCTGCAGCCCTGCAGTTGTCAAATAACGCATAATCCATCATTTAATAGACATTTCTATTTTAACATAGGTTAGACTTTAGAATAAACACAAATTTGGCTTACAGGGGGAACCATGTATGTCCACAAAACGGGAGAGTGTCCCACAACAGAGTGTAGTAATTTTCATTTTTGTTCAAACATTTTTTCAGCAGCTCACCTGTACTGTCTCCCCATGATCTGTGGTAAACCCTCTGGATCTATCATTTAGTTGTAAACTCCTCATTCTGGCAGTGTGAGGCCTCAGGGGAAGACAACAGGTATATTCCTTGTGGGGAAGTTTTCTTGTGGTAAAACCATTTTAAGACCATCATCTTCGTTAAATCTCGCAAGAAGCAAAGCTGTGAGCAGCCCTGGATACCTAGATTCATGGGATAAGATATATTCAAAGCGTAAAAGAATTAGTCTTTCACACGGGGAAAGATCTGCTGCTGCTGCTGCTGCTGCTGCTGTAGGTGTACCAAGAAAACAACCAGAAACTGTTTATTTTATTTCCAAGCACTCCTAATTTACAGTAAATATTATTTTTTTTTGTGGCAACATTTGTTGTGATTTGTTTACTTTCAGGTCAGACACACAAGAAAGACTCAATTCAACGTTAATACTTACTGGCTAAATTTTGTGGGTTACATGTCCTGCTCGGGAAGTCTTGTGCCAAACCAGTGCCTTGGATCTGCGGCTCTTATAAAATCTAGACTGCAGCGGAGAGCTGGGCGGGGGGCTGGACTTTGGAACAGGGGAAGGTTTCTTTCACTAAGAATAGAAAAGCATGCAGGCTTGCCATTCTGATGCCCTATTTGGCACTTCATCTAAGAGGTGACAAATACTGAAGTCTGCAAGACTCCTCTGTGGACCAGTGTGTGTATTTTACCCTATTTGTGACCCATATTAAACAACCTTACCTGTAAAAAAATATATAGTATTGATCTATAGGCTTTAGTTATATGTAAAAACCAGTTTGAGCAACAGAGTTAAAAAGGCAACAGGCTGCACATGAAAGAGTTTGATTATTGCACTTAATGGCAGGGGTGTAGCACAAATACCTCCATACATATTCAGCTTCAGTGGGCCTCCTTTCTCTTTCAATACATCCATTGTCACACTGATACAAATAACAAGTTAACACATACAAAAAACAGACTACTTGATGTTAGTGTTCTCCTTTCAGTGTAAACTGCTATAACTTTATGGGCTTAGTTTGTCTTTAAAGTGCTTGTACTTGTATTTCCATGTTATGCTACTTTATACTTTTACTCCATTACTTTTTTATTCACTACAGTTATTTCACCACTTTAGTTACTACTTTGCAGATTCAGATGATTAATGCAAAATAGAAATCAACTTTAATAGTTCATATTATAGCCTATTAAGACAGCAGTATATAGAGTAGTGTAAAATTAGCTGCAACTTGACCAGCTGCAACATTAGTGAGCTTTACACATCATTGCATCAGTAATTGAGCCATTTTGTACGATGAGTACATTTTTTGTACTTCAAGTATATGTTGGTGTTTATACTTATTGGTATTTCTACACTGTGGTATTATGTCTGCTACTTTAACTTCATCCTACTACAAGGAGTTTTTAACTAATTGTAAAGCAGTCTCAGTTTATTTAATACTGATGCCTCTGACATAAACAGACACCATCAGAGAGAAGCTGTTTCTATATAGTTGTTCTTAATGCCTGCCACTGGATCGGATTTGGTCGGTTCTTTGTTTCTGCTTTAAGTAAAAGATCTGAACAGCTCTTCCACCTTTGCTTCTTATGCACAGTTCATCTCATTTCCAAGAACCTCTACAAATAAAACCCTCATATTTAGTTAAACTTAGATGTAATGTTAATCAGTAATAACAGTGTGTGACATATTGAGCAAAAAATGTGATGTAATGATCATTATCAGGTCATCTAATCAGGGCGAATCACGTTTGTCTTATTGTGTTTTGTACCTTCATTGCAACACATGAAAGACTGCACGGTGCTTTTGACACGTAGCGACAACGTTTTGAAGTCTGTTGAACTTTGAACCCAAGTTGCGCCTGCGCAGCCAATACCTATTGATGGAGCTCTAGATGGACGTGACAAGTGAGCCTAAAAAAAAGCCTAGCTTATGTTTTGTAACTGTGGGAGAGCATTTTCAGTCATGTAATAATGATAATGCATTAAAATTAGGTTAGTTTATGAATTTAAGAAACAAAATAATAATAAAGGATGTTAAAGATATGACATACATTTATAGGTTGAACTGCTTTTGTCAGGTAAAATAATTGTTTGCATGTTGGGTCTAATGTTTTAATAAAATCTTAAAACAGGGCTTAACCTTACAAAATGTGCTGCTGTGAATATGGAATTTAGCCAAAAGTGACAATATATTGAAAAGCTGACAATGTATTTGGACCGTTTGAAAACAAAACAACACGTGTTCAGAAGTAATTCAGGAAGGATCAACAGTAAAATAGTTTTGAGGACCTAGATTCTCCCAGGAGGGATAAAATGTTCCTGAAGAGCAACAGTGTTTGCAGGACTGTAACACACAGATGCAGCCTGCCGCCGTGTGGCGGACCGGTAGTGCCACATGCGGACATGAAGTAGTGCGGCCAATCTGAAGTTATTGCACAATGTTAGTCGACCATCTGATATCTGTTATTAATAACAGTATGTCGTATTTGAATTACCCTGAAATAAACGAAATATTTAGAATATTTATGTTATCTAATGGCATTTTAATAGGCGAATCAATTCTCACCAAACAGTAGGTCTATGTTTATATTTTCAGCTGAAGACTGTTGTGTAATTGAAATCAAAAACGTACTTTTTTCAACAGATAATGTGCTTCTGCTTTTCCTCTACTGAGCGGACTGGTTGTAGACTGCAGGTCACACCCGTGCGTAAAGTTTACAAAGCAAACGTTGTTGTGTAACATAACTTAACTACGGCAAGGCATGGGTTAAATTGTCTTGCTAGAAAGTTTGACTTTGCGTAAATGACTGGGCTGAATTCGATAAATGACCAGGGAAAAAAAAGGCTCCAGCCCTCCTCTCCTCTCCACTTGTCAGACCTCCTGGGAACTGATATGTGGTTCTGTGTAAGAGCTGGAACTAAGTGCGCACTCCTGCTTTTCATCCACTTCCCACAAAGCAACATCTGTGCGAGTAATTTATCTAATAATCTGATCTTTTATTGATTTACGGATTCATTCTTTTTTTTCTAGCTTTACTGCCATGGCAAAATGGTCACTTTTATTTTTATACTTTTTCCAAGGACTATTTCCCCTCATCTTTGGACAGCAGCAGCGCACAGCTGGTCCCTGGCGGCACCGTATTCAATGGGAGAACAACGGGCAGGTTTATAGTTTAATGAGCACTGGATTAGAGTACCAGGCTCCGGTTCGGTCCAGAAGCCAGTCGAGGGTTTTTGTGAGCAGCCGGAGGGATGGCACCAGGAGCCAAATGCCTGGAGCGCACAGAGGAGCGACGCTTATGAGACCCGGACAGGTTGACTCCAGGCAGTTAAGGACTGATCACGGTGTAGAGCCTGGGTCTATTGAGCCAGGACACGCTGTTAGACAATATGCGTCGTTTAACAGTCGTGCGTCCGGGACCAGACAGCAGCCTGAGCGTCCTCACGGAGTAGGAGTTTCAGGTTATCCAGGCGCGCAACGCTTTAGTTCTGAACACACCAACACTATCAACGCCTCTGCACCGGGGAGTTTTACAGATTTTTCAGGCAGAAGAGGAGGTGTCAGAGTGGATGCTACTGCACAGCACACCAGAGGAGGAGAACCAGGGACCGGTGCGCAATACCAGCAGTTACGCGCGGTGCCAGAGGCGATGTCCGTCTCCAGGCAACCCGCGCAGACGGATCACTCCATCCCAGCGAATCCCACAACTCTGGACAGGGAATCTGAGGTTCCTGCTCCATTCCCTGCACCTAGTGAGGAAGTTCCAAGCGAGGCAACCGGTAATGGAGAGGACATGGTTAACGACGACCCTCGAAATCCGCTTAAAAACCACAGGAATTCTGTTTTCTACAACTCGTATCCCACAAGAGGGAGGTCAGCGGCCCGCACGCGCCGTCCACCTGGCACAGGATATGGAACAAGATATTTCCAAAATGGTACGTTAATCACATGAAATGAGCTTAGCCTTCTTAATTGGAAATGGATTTAAATGATCTTAGACCAACATGATGGTCCATTGGGTGCATCAATTTGGATAAAACCGACTCAGTCTAAATAATCATCCATTACAATGAAATTTTTTTTATATCAGTTGGTTTTGGGAGTAGTTTAAAGCCTCAGGTCTCACTCACCTAGAGGGAAAAACTGAATGAAAAGAAGGGAAAAATCCTATTTGGGTTTTGGATCCCAGACTGTCAGCTCTGGAATGTGAAACACTTTGAATTATGCCAACAAACACAATCAGCTGGTCTTTTTTCCAACGTACACACCATCTATTTCAGTGATTTATTCTTAGCATGAATGGACAGGCAACATTAAGATCTATGAATTACAACAACAAAAAACTTGGGTTGTTCCTTTAATCTCCTCTTTCAGGACTGCCAGACCTTGTGCCCGACCCATATGCCATCCAAGCAGGTGCTTATATCCAGCGCATGCAGATGTATGCGCTCCGCTGTGCTGCTGAGGAGAACTGTCTGGCCAGGTAATCTGCGGTGCCAAAAGTGATTCAATTCTTCAGCATGTAGACACTGAAGCAGACATACACTCACACACACCCACACACACACAGGTATTTCCTTTGTTTTTACTGCTTATTGAAGGTTAATTTGACTTGTTTTAACACAGATTCTGGTTGTTTTAGGATAACTTTCAATTATGTCTGCCTAACTTTTCAGTGTGTCAGGATAACTGTTCTGTTGATAGAGTTACAAAAACTGTTTGATCTTATTATGGAGCAGTGATTCTCCAACATGATGTCCTGCCAAGACATAAATGTTCTGGGTTGGTTTTCCCAAAAGCATTAAGCACAATGGAACAAACCCTTTGCACTCCGTTACTTTTAAGAACACTAGCCCCAGGAGCTTAGGCCTGTTTCCCCTGTAATCCATCCAAGGTCGGCTTATGGACCCACCGTGAGAGACATCGACTTCAGAGTCCTCCTGCGGTTCCCCCAGAAAGTGAAGAACCAAGGCACCACCGACTTCCTGCCTGTCAAGCCGAGATATCAGTGGGACTGGCACAGCTGTCACCAGTGAGTTAACTCAGGCTACAAGTGAAATGACCTCACATCCTTCAAATGTTGTTATTAGCACAACTCCATTCAGCTCTGATATGACAAAAAAAACACCACACCCTAAAAATTCATTAAAGAAGGTATTAAAGGTCTTTAAAGGGCCTTCCTGAACCCTGTTTGAGTCATGCCACATGTAAGAGGCTTTTATTATTTTCTATTCTATTATGTTCTACATCCTCAGACACTACCACAGCATGGACGCCTTCAGTAACTACGACCTGCTGGATGTCGTCACTGGAAGAAAAGTGGCCGAGGGACACAAGGCCAGTTTCTGCCTGGAGGACACGGGCTGTGACAACGGATTCAGGCGGCGCTACGCCTGTACGTCTCATACACAGGTAATATAAACTTACACAGTCTGTAAAGAACAAGAAACAACCACAGACATCTAAAAGTTTGAAATCACTCATAGGCCTTTTCCACCAACAGTGAACCGGCTCTGTTCCAGTTCCCACACCTAGTTTTGAACCGTTCAGAGCTTTTCGGACAAAAATAAATTGGAAGCTGAAAAATTGGTTCCCTGCTGCAAACAAAACATAGAGAGTTAGTTTGGTGGAAAAACACTTTCATAGTGTTTTTGGTTCAAGATTCATGGGACGTTGGTGTTATCTAACAAACCAGCCCACTTTTCCACCAGTTTTGAGTGGAACCATTGTAATCAAATGCATCAATGGGGGAATATAATACACCCACTTTGGTTTCCAAGGAAAAGTTAAAAAGTTAAAAGTTACAGCTGGGAAACAACTTTTAAGGTCTTCCCAAGTTTAGTATTTACAAGTGGGGTATCTTTCCTTGATCCTGGATCATCATCCATATGGTATCATAGTCCTCACTCAGCAGTTTAAAACATACATTACAGGAGGAAATTTACCAGATAGGAGCAGCTTTATATGGTGAAAAAGAGAAAAAAACACAAAAAAACATGGCTCACTCCGAATGGCTACAAAAGCAATCCTTCGCCATCTTTGATTTGGTTTGTATTCTTTTTAATAGAAGAGCAATGTCTTGGTTTGTTGAGGTGCACCTGCCAAATGTTATAAGTCGTAATATATGAACTATAAAGAGATGCACATATAGAACTGTTATCCGGGCTGGAGTTAGTCAGTCAGTCTTCAGGTCTGGTGAACAGAAGTGTCAAATGTGAGAAGATAGAGATTAGCATCTCTCCTATTTAGTGTGTTGTATCGGTCTAAGATATTATTTTATTTTATTTAGTCAAACAATACATCATGTATTTAGCAAGGGTGAGTTGTTTTGGAGTTTTTTGCAAATCCTCCAGATCCACTTCTGAGAAATGTTTTTATACCAAAACTCCAGTGAATGCCAATAAAGAAAAACATCCTGAGGACATGAGGATATTTATTATATCTGTTGTCTGGGCTCTGTGATTCTGGCTTTGCACTGCTTCATGCCGGTTTCTCGTAACAGCTTTGCTTCCAAAGAGCTGTTTGTATAACTAAAACTCAAATCTGCTTCATTTGCAGCACTTGTAGGAAAATAGTAGTCAAAGTCGTCTGAAGAGCCTGAGTGAAAGCTTTAAACCACTCTGGGTTGGGGGGGGGTTGGGTTGTGTTCTCAGGGATTGAGCCCAGGATGCCATGACATCTACGCTGCCAACATCGACTGTCAGTGGATTGACATCACTGATGTACCTCCAGGAAACTACATCTTGAAGGTAACACGTGTCATATTAACTTTATATCATCTGCTCTTTCCCAACATGGGAGTTATATTTCACTATCCTGCCTGCAGAGCTGCTCAGACTATTTTTATTTATATTTGTTTTTGTTTTTTTAGGTTACTGTCAATCCCAATTTCCACGTCCTGGAGTCAGACTTCACCAACAACATAGTGAGATGTGATATCATATACACGGGAATCTACGTTCAGACACGGAACTGTCGAGTAACGAGGTACGAGTGTCTCTGTTAAACGTGGTGGATTTTTATTTTAAACATTTATAATAATACATCTAGATAAACTGAAAATGAATAGGTTATATAGAGGATGGAAAAAACAGTACAGCTGAGAGATGCTATATCCTGTTTCATATTTCCTTTTCTTTCCTTTTTCAGGGGTTGAAATCTTCCCTTTCAAGAACTATCTACAGCAAACATCTCTCCCTGTACTGTAACGCAACATCAATTCTATGACTAACAAAAGGTGCAATTGCTAAAGTGTTTAATCACAACTGTGTGCTACTTAGTCTTGTGTTGCATTGACTGGAAGTCTGTGCATACGTTTACACCAATTTTGTACATTGAACTGGTGAGATCATGAGATTTACTTGATTGTGTATTTCTACAAATGATTAATAGCAAAAATATTAATAATACAAAGTACTGTGTTTATATACATTTATTTCTTGAATGCTGGTTTATTGCTTGAAATGTGTGTTTTGTTGCCACTTGTTGTCTTGTTTTTTCTGCTTTGTGTTATTGTTATGTGCACATCATTAGTTTTTACAGTTTTATTTACTGTAGGATTAGATATTCTATATTTTTTGTTATTGTCACCAAATTTCATGAAAAGTCCAAAACCAACAATGTGTGAGTCTATCTCTCAATACTTCTTTACCTGGTCTGTGGCTCTCGAGCTTATTAGTTCCCACTGAAGACATGATTCTAATAAAGAAAACAGTTCACAAATCTGTTAAACATTCTTTAAAACAGCTGGGCACTTTAATTTTTTTTGCAAATGTTACTCAAACAGGAGCATATAGTGCATTTGGATGTGCAAGTATTTATGTTACAGTATGTGTAACTCAAAATAAACTGCAGTGATAGGAACATTTAAACCAGTGAAATAGTGTTATGGACACCATTGAAGCTCTAAGGCACACAGGAATAAGATGCACTAGGTTTTTCATACACAGACAGCATGTGTTAGTAGAATAAATTCATTGCTAGTTTCACAGTTTGTACTGATAACAAGAAAAATACAGAGTATCACCTGATTTATCCTTTAACCACTTTGTGGTCACATTAGCAAATTGCAAATATCTCATTTAATGTTAAAGAGTAAGGATATATGTTGGAGTATGTGTACGAATGTGTGCTTGTGTATAACTGAGTGAATGAAAAATGTGGAAAACTGTAATGTAAAACTGTTCATATTGCTAAACCATTGAAAACCTTATTATATTCTGTTGGTATGTTTGATTTAATGCAATAAAGATGGTGAGGAGAGAGGAGTTTATTATTATAACAATTCTTCCTGATTAGTCCTCATTCCTTTTTTAATGATAACCACAGACATCAGTTTAATCTTCAAAAAATGCCAGAAAAGCAAAAGTTTATTTATTTTAGTTGCTTGCCCATGTTTTATTATAAAATGCCAAGGACCACTAAATAATAGACTCTTTTAACAGTTTTAAATCCAGTATCCCAGGCGGACAAAAGCGGCTTGTTCAATCAGTCTTTCGCCCTCCGTCCTGTTGAATGGAGGAACTTCACTTTGAGTGATGCGTGCAGATCGTGGCCTCAGAGACAAACAGGCCTGCAAGCAGACACTGGCGGCATGTTTGCTGACAGGCCTCTGTGAAGACACAACTCGCAGGATCTTATACAGTCGTGCCATATCTACTAAAACACAGCCAGAGCACGATGAATGGAGGCCTTTTCTCACTCTCTCCTCCTCTCTGCATGTCTCTCAGCTGCTGTAAAAGACTTCTTCCTGGCCCAGAAATTCATGCATCATGGCTTCATTCACCTCCAGTAAGGATTGTCTAAGACGACAGCCGTTTTAACAGCACTGGGATATTTTTGTCTGAGTGGGAGGATTGACACAACCCACCAGAGAGTCATTCAAAGATGTTTTTACCAAGGACAAATGTGTTTTTACAGCAAGCACTAGACTGTTTCAAACAGCAAAAGACTGACAGGAGAGACGCTAAACCTGTGCAGATTCTATTCACTGTGGACTGGGTAGTGATTCACCTGACTCAAAGATGTTAAACAAATCACTTTCTCCAACGAGCTTTATATATATCATGAAGCCACTTTTTGACTGATGTACTGGAAAACATGCAGGCTCCAGACAACGTATGCACTGTTAAATGCACAGATGTTGGGTATTTACAACGAAACAGAGCTCAGTCTCAGCTTAAGAAAGCAGCGAACCGGGGAGATTAAGCGCAATTGAAATGGTTTACGTTGGAAGTCGCCAAGGTGCCTCCCTGCCAGAATAGATTGTCTATGTTATTGAGAGTGTCTGGAAAATCCCCCGACTCCTATTCAGTCGACTCCGTTGCTGTCTGTCTAGGAATTTTCAGGACAATATTTACAGACAGTGAGTATTTCAGCAAAAGACTGCTGTTCTGGGTTAAAGTCTAGATCTGAACTTAAGTAAAACAAGCAGCTACACAGACACAGCAGTGCATTGAGATAAATGCTAACACTGGCATGCTAACACACTCACAATGACAATGTTAACATGCTGATGATAAGCACCTATAACTTTTTACCGTGTTCACATTTTAGTTTAGCAGTTAGCATGCTAACATTTGCTAATTAACAGGTAATAGCATTAGTTTTGCAAGTATAAGGACATAAACCAAAGTATTTGTGAAATACCTTGACAAATACCAACCTGATGATGGCGCTAGATGAAAAGCAGATCACCAAATTATAATCTTAAGGGGAACATTATATGTGGCCCAACTACAGCAATTGATCCAATACTTGTAAAGACATTTTACTAGAGGACAAGTCAGAGGAGCAACAAAGTGGCCATGCTTCTTACATACTTACTTTGCACTCCCTTGACATTCTTTTTTTACTCACTTATAAATCAGACCAACATTGCCATTCCCAGAGCCAGTAAAAATTCAAGGGATGTTGAACTTTAAGCTGTCCGATCAGGTGATGAGTGTTTGACTGTGATCCTCAGAACTCAGCTGGTCTCCTCCTTTTTGGACCAGCATGTCATTTTAAACATGTCATGCTGAAGAGAAGACACTGACTGTTTGCTCAGCTGTGGAGCTGTGCACCAACATCTGGACGCAGTCTCTCGTTAGCCTTACACAAGCACAGAACAGCCTTGGCAAAGGCCAGAAAAAAAGGGAGACTGGCACCTCTCATTTGGCCTCAACAAACACAATCCAGCGTACAGGTAGGTAAGGTGAGGATGGGGATGGGTTTTGCCATCTGCCTGCAGCCTACACTGAACATACTGTGGCAAGGAGAGACATTTTCCGGATGCATCTGCACGTAGGTGGGCAGTGTTTAGAGAGGTCAGGGTTTGGTATTTGCAGGTCATATTTCAACAAAGCGGGGCCACGTGAGAGCCGGCGAGGACGTAACAGAAGAACGTGCTCAGCCTAAGGAGAGCGTCTTGACAGGTTGGTTTAGGCACAGTCTAGAGAAATTCCTCAGCAGTTCTGTCATCCTGTTGAGATTAAGAACAGTGCTGAGGTCAGCCGTAGACCAGCGAGGGCATGTAGGGCAGACATACTGGGCTACTTTCTCACCCCGGGTCACTTACACAACCAGCAGACGCATATTGTAAATGTACAGAGTGAAGAATACAACGTGCGCTGAGACAAAACACAAAGGAGTCATCTTCGAGTGGGACTGATGATGAATTCTGTTTCTCTTTCTTGCTGGGTGGTATTATGACTTGGGTGGTATTTGGAGGGATGGCTCAAAGGATTTGCTATTCTTTGATTTTTGATCCATTGTACTGTCTTTCTGCAAGCTCTTCATCTCTTACTTCAAACACTTGTATTAATTTTTCTCTGTTTTGTTCACTTTAACATGCCCGAAGGAAGCCGTCTGTCATCATGGAGATGGCAAAACTGTTTTATTTGTGAGCTTCTCATTTTGTGGCAACAATAAAAATTAATTCCTTGTTTGATTGTCTTAAAATTGGGTGTTTTGTTAACTACAAAAAGAACACTTATTGATCGAACAGTGAATTGCACTTGTTGGACATTTCCGTTTAAATCAGGGGTCTCAAACTCAAATTGGCTTGGGGCCACATCTGCTATTGTCATCTCAGGAGGGCCACTTTAACTTTCAAGCACTACAAGATATAATAATATTTTGATTAGTAACATCATACTTAGCAAAGAAATGCAAACAGCAGTTTCTATACATTTGTATATAATTTCTGTTTTGTGTGTTTTGCACATGAAAGCTGCTCTCTCAGTATCCAAAATACATTTTCTTAAATAGAATGGCATTCTTGTTTTAATTGTATATGAAGGGGTGGTTTAGATTCATATGAAACAACTAGAAAGAATAATAAAAAATAAAAATAACGTTGTGGGTTGTGTCGCCGGGCCAGTGGGAGGGTCCGAGGGCCGGCAGTGTGAGATCTCATGTGTGTGAGAAAAGAGGGAAAGCAGCTCAGTTTCTGTTATCTGCTTTAGAGATTACAGTATTTTTTAGGATTACCTTAAGTTGTTGGTTTGTCATACATAATAACACACACAAAGTTATCTTCTTCATAAATAGCAGTGACTGGGGTTTTATTTTTTATCCCTTATTTTATTTTCAGTTGTGATTCTTAATAAATAGGCAAAAAGTGACAAAGGTCCAGGCCAAAGAGAGTTACTGTCTCCCACAGAAAACACTGCTCCTGTGCTGCCTGACAGTGTTTGTATTCAGCCTTTTCTTTCATTTCTCTATGATAAAGAGCCACCTATAGGCCAGGTGACAGTACTGCCCACTGAAACCTAGTGAATCTACCTTGCTGTCCACCATTGCATTGATTGTGTTTGTGCATTTTCCTGCAGACTGCTGTATTAATGAAGGCCGTAACGGTTCAAGCTCAAGGATGGATCAATACTGGCTGTCCGTGACCCGACTTCAAACTTGGAACGCTGTAAGTTTTACTGTTTCTCAGTGTGTTTAACTTGGTTCTGGCATGTTGCATAGGGGTTGTGTGGCTAGCATGTGGGGGTTAGAATAAACCATGTGAACATTTAGCCTCATTTGCAGCCAACTAAATAACGAGCAGTAGATTGGATGCCAGTAACTGTTTTTTCATGTTGCTTTTTATGCTGCAGCGCTAATGTTAGTCTCAGCTAGCATTAGCTTTGTTGACATTCGCGTCCGTGGTGTGAATGTTGCTGCTGTATGTAAATTCACTTGATAAACATGGCGTGAAGTTAATGATAGAGTTAGGTACATGTGAAAAAGAAATAAACTTCTTGGAATTATTCAGGAATTAAAACAAACAGAAATACAGTGGGTGGGGCCTGCTCAGGCTTGTGGGAGCTGACCAATCAGAGCAGACTGGGTTACTCTGGAGGAGGAGTAGGAGCTAGAAGTAGTGTCTCAGACAGAGGGTGGAAAGAGGTGCTGCTTTAGATGGCTGATGAATCGAGTCAATTATCCGGCATTTTGAGATAATTGGCATCGGCCAATGCCTGCGTCTGCTGGGCCAATGAACCAAAAATGTTTAAGACTGGTCTGCAGGCAGCCATGTCAGTGAGGCTGGTGTGGAAGGATTTTAGAGCTCCAGTTCATTATTATTGTTAATTATGTCAAGATATACACATATACATCAACATACACCTATATTAACGCCGCTACCGATATAGCCACATAATATGTAACTGAATTTTGATTCCTGTGTTTTTTTTCCAGTCACTACACTGTCGTTATTTGATGTAGTCTATTGGGACTATGTGTCTATGTTACCTTAAAGCAGCTTCTGTCTCTCCTTGCCTGGGTTTGTGTTTCAGGAGGCTGGTTGGATCTAATAGCACCTAGCTGTTATTCAGGATGCTGTAGTTTTGCATCCAGAACCTGAGAAGAACAGGAAACACTACTCTACTGGACAGAACATCTGCGGTATTAACAGCATCCTATTCATGTATTATTTTTGGGTAGATGAGACAAACGGGAGGTGGCAATACTAAAAGTCGGTGTTGCTCTTGGTCTGAGTCTCTGTCTGACATTCCAGAGTCACTCCGGTATTTACAAAAGCAGCACGGCCAACAGCTCTGCCGGTGTGCCTTCTGTCTGACAAGATTCATAGACAGGGTATGCGGAACAGCCTAGACTTGGACAGCAGGCCAGGACATGGCCTTTCTCAAAGCCCATCAGGCTTTAGGTGCAGCAGGCATTATCTGAGATCCAAGCCTGTAGACCTTTAAGTGATCGCTCTGAGGATTGATGGTTGTTTTGCAACTTGTACTTGGTATTCATACAGCGTCTTATCATAAGATATTTGTTAGCTTTTA